TCCGACTAAAGGAAGGTACTACGATAGACTCATAGCTATTCTCCAAGCATTCCACCCAGGCTTTGCTCGTTCTCGTACAGGTGTCACGTGGACACCAAGCCTGCATGACTAATTCCTAGCCCCGCCAAAAGTCGCGGCCTCGCCCAACCTGCCGCCTTTCACGTCGAAGTGGAGAGAATCAAGAATATTACCGGTCACAGCCACTATGGTTCCACACCTTCCCGCCGGCCTGTTGCTGTTGGTTCTCTTCGTAATCGTCGTGTATTGGGTCATAGATGGAAAACGGGAGAGCGAGCCAAAGACCGTCCCGAAGAAGTATCCAAAAACACCCAGTCCCAATTATCCAAAGACGAAGAGTCCTGATTGTGCGCGGCAAACGCCTACACCGGGTCGGGTTCGGGCGAATTCTGAGCCCTCAAGACCATCACTACGACAAGAGAGTGAACCAAAGCCCGTGCCTGAACAGTATGCCAAAAATAAAACTCCTGAGCATTCGCGGAGTGGGAAGATACCAAGCTCGGCGGAGGTGGAGTGCCCACAACAGTTTCAAGATTCTTCGAAGCAGCCGAGGAATCCTCCACCCATCTCCAAGAGCGAGTCCCCAACCCAGAATCAGGACACCCCGCCTGAACAGACAGATCTGGACCAGATCTGGAACGCACGAATGAAATATCATCCTCAGCCCTTCCTAACGGACTTTGATCCCAAGAAGCATATACGGCTTCTAAGGGTCCTTCCAGCGCCCGATCGATATGATGATTCGTCTCCAGTGATGTGTCAATTCATAAAACCGTATGGCTTCTCAACCAGATCCTGGCCGAGGTCCAAGTACACGGAGTACACTAAGTACACAGCACTTAGTTACGAGTGGGGTCCAGCAAGCAAACGCGAACACATCTTTACAATATACATAAATGATGAGCCTTTTATCGTCCGGCGTAACCTCTTCGACTTTCTTTGTACCATGCGAGAAAGGAAAACCGAGGGACCATTTTGGATTGATGCCATCTGAATAGACCAGTCAAACCCACGAGAGAAGGGACCGCAGCTCGAGCTTATGCCCAAGATATATGAAAAAGCATCCGTAGTATCCATCTGGCTTGGGAAGACCAATGATTCAACACTTCGAGATGGTCTACATTATCTTCGCGAATGCACAAGATACGGTCAGATCCAGTGGGGGCCCACGCACACTGAGCTTATCGATCCTATGCTGGAATTCCTGGTCAGAAACACGTATTGGACACGGCTTTGGATCGTGCAAGAGGTTTACAAGGCGTCTAGACTCGAGCTTTATACGGGGACCCTATGCTGGGAGTTCTGCGATTTGAAGCGTCTTCGAGAAGCAGCGCGGATGTTCAGTGAAGGTTGGGACACCGAATATACCTGGCGGTTTTGGATCAACATAGTAGAGGCCAAAGAAGGGTGGCAGAGAAAGAAACACAGACTCCATGACGTCTTGTATCAATGGAGTCATCATGAATGTCGAGACATTCATGACAAAGTCTACGGACTTTTGGGGCTTGTTTCCGGAACTAAGCTAAGAGTCGACTTGGATAAGACCCTACCCGACCTCTTCAGTGACGTACTCCGACTGGAAAGTTGGAGTATATACGCCAAGGGTTATGTATATGCTGACGAATTTGCCACGAAATTACTCCACGACTTACAATTGTCTAAGAACTCGACCGCGCAACAAACCAAACTTGATTTCCTTAGAAGGTGTATGGTACCAGGGTAATTGATTACCATCACTGTCCGCATCCATTACCTCACCTTTTGGGCCGTGAATAATACAATGCCCTCCAGGATATTCTGTGAGACCATTGTACATATACATAGCTTCCAACTAGACTGGATTGTACGGCACCGGAAATCGCTCCATGTCAAAAGCTACCTTCGTATTTCCATTACGGCGTACTATGTTTACGCATTGTTCAGACCCCCTTGTGCATTCACTTAGGGGCCTAATCAGACTACAAAAGCATCATCCAACACCCTCTCCTCGATCTGTCCATAATCACTTCTATTAGTAACACACATATTTCAAAGATGGCACCCCCATTAACCCGCCAGGATGTCTTCAACACCCTCACACAAAAAGTTCTCTCCGCCCGCAGTACCTCCACCGACAAGCGCTCCTTCATCCCCACCACAGCATTCAAGCAAGACATCGACACCACCATCACGCAATTCCTATCCCTCGCCCGCGACAATCTCATCGCCTGCCTCACTTCCCTCGACCCTCTAGCCCCCCAACTCAACGACCCCATCGAATACGAGTTCGCAGGCCCCCAGCCCCAAATCTCCGACATCTCAAAACGCCTCGACTGGATGGATCTCATGGTCCTCCAAGACAAGCTACTCGGGGACACAGACCCTGCCGCTGAGCTCGATGACACAGAGCTCAAAGAATCAGATCAGTGTTTCAAGTGCGCCATCTGTATGGAGATGTACACCGACGCCGACTTACCCGTCAAGTTCAACGCGTGCAAACACATCGTTGGCCAGGACTGCATGGCGACATGGCTGTCCGCGAACCCGACGCCCAATTGCCCATATTGTAGAACACAGCTCTGTGAGTCCCGCGCGAAAGTGCCAAAACGGAATACTCTTGTCGGCGAGGAGGAACAGCAATTCCGCATCCTGAACTTCCGCTTGGGTTCGATAGTCACGCAGATTCACGACGTGTGTCGTATAACGCTCGAAATGTATCCGGGGTCTCGCAAAGACCGGAATCTGTTTGATGCTTTCAAATTCGAGGTCAACAAGCTTCTGAAGGAGAAGAAGGTAGGATATCTTTTGAGTCCGCGACTAGAAGGCTTTGTGCATGGTATGGGGGCGGAGATTATGGATGGGGCGAGTGCGTGCGATGGGTTTGGGGTGCTGGGGTGGCGGTTCCAGGTCCTGCGTGTTTCGTGGAATTTGGATGGGAGTTTGGATGCGTTGAGTGAGGGGTTCGAGTTGGTTGGTGCTAGTGGGGGCTTTTGAGAGGGTTGAGTGACGTTAGGCTGGTATGTGCAGAGTATTAGTAGAGCTCAGCATTGTTCTCCTAACGGGTTGAATATAGTGGACGGCGTTTTTCTAGTAGTTGGAGATCTAGGCTATAATATGTGAATCTATACATCATCCATCAAATGGAAAGATACTGTTCTATTATGTTTGCGATTTGGTAACTTGCTGTCTTGTGATCTTGATGCTATCATCCTCCCGTGACTACTGAATACTTTCTTAACTAGAAGGCTTACTGTATTGCCTCGCCTCAGAAGCCTTTTCCTGTTACTGGAGGATGGTCATTGGCACCCGGCGTCTGCGAACAAGACACATCTACTGACAGACTGAATACCATCAGTTCGACTCCTTGTCTTCTAACATTAGCATGTTCTCACTTACTGTCTTGGCTACGCAACGCTTATATTCAGAATTAAATCAAGATTTGATTGATAGATGATTTGGACAGCTCATATAATATCCAGGTACCAAAGGAGGATAGGGAACCACTATTTATATATACACTTTGTATTGTACTTCAATCAGCCAAGTAAGGTTCCGCGCTCATCACGCTCCCTCAACATAGCCAGAACCTCTTCATACCCCTCACTCGCTTCGCTCAGACTCCCATCATCATACCACTGCACTCTGTAGAAATTAATCTCACATTTGTCCTCCCCGTTCTCAAACCCGCGAGGCACTGCAGATACATGGACCTGGTACCCGATCCTGCGCTGCCTCAGGTCCTCATTCACTCTCATGAACTCCTGAAATCTATGATCGGACACGTCTGGGCCCCATACTTGATCGATGATCTTGAGGACTTCCCCTATGCTAAGGAACACCTCCTCGAGGTTGTCAAAGAGGATATTGATCTGTACGAAGAGGAGTGTGGAGATGGGGACCGGACGTCGCGGACGGCGAGGCACGAGACAGGCGCGACATATCGGGCATGCGTTTGAAGCAGATGCTGTTGAGTTGATGCAGGACTCGAGACAGGAGCGCCCTAGAATGTGCGAGCATGTTGTGATCTTGAACGCTGGGTCCTCTTCTGAGTATTCGGTCAGACATATAGCGCAGCGAACACTTTGGTCCCGATCTCGACCGTCGTCGGTTTCCTTACCATCCACCTGCGAATTCGCTGGTACGGTTTCTGGGAGAAACAGCTTATACTGCAACTCAGCCAACTCCTGACCACTCACCAACGTCCCCAACACATCAACATCATGATCCGCCCCGACATTCTCATACTCTACCTCCTGAAACGGCGCTGGCGCCATCTCATCAAGTCTTCTCAGCTTCTGCAAAACTTCTGCCCTCACGATCATGAAGAACTCCTCCACAATCGCGACGAACTCTGCATCGTCTCTGAACACGCTCGGGTACTGGAACTCACGGCCCAGTGTAGGGGCTAACTGCTCGGCCGAGCGCATCATTCTCTCCAGCCAAGCAGCGAGCATTTCAAAGCTCCAATCCTTGCGTGGTCCGCGGAAGCGGGGCCGTGGGATGCCACGGAGGATGGGTGGTACGCGGGGAGAGGGTGGCTCAGGGAACCTGCTGAAGGGGTTCGCGTAGAGGAAGTCGGAGGGATCACTGACAATGCTACCTTGGTCGAATGAAAGTTGGGCAGGGTTTGGTATAGGAGTCGGAGGACGGCCGGACAGCGGTCGGGCAGAGAGGTCAGGGATGGGGAAGGCTCCGGGTAGTTGAGGAGTAATTCCAACTGTCTGAGACCTGGTAAGTAAGGTAGGGGTTTCCATGACTGAGCTCGTTGATCACGATAGTACACACAAATTGATATGTGGGTTCTCATATATACCAGCCGCTGATTAGCACTCTTCACAATGGTCGTGATCAAGCCCTACAGTAGAGACATTGTATACTAAGCATTGTGTACGAGAACATGAAGCCTCATGTCCCCATCTCGTGACCTAATACTTTGGAAAGACAAAAGATTCAAACAGACTATTGAGAAAAGATAGGGAATCTCTCCTGAGAGCAAAAAAAGACTCCCCGTGATGGACTCGAACCATCAACCTCCTGATTTGCTTAATAACAGTCAGACGCGCTGACCAGTTGCGCCAACGGGGACTTTGTTGCTTGATGTCATTTTTTCCCTCAAAACAGCTTTATATGATCTAAGGGCAGATGTCCTAGTTCTGGTCCTCAGGACCGAGAGAAGGTATTACAACATACCATGGTTGTGATGCCATCGACGTAAGATTTGTTCATTCATATGCAGTCATGGGGCTGTTTTGTATGTCGTATGATTTCAGTACTTATTGAGGCCTCTAAGGCCTAGGAGGATGTAAGGCTCGATACGCTGCTCTGTGAAAGCAATATATTGTGGCTCAAATGGGGCAAATCGTATTCAAGTTCCAGATGAAGGTGGATGGCACCTATATTATGCATTATTGGTTCATGAACGAAGAACACTATCGAAGTTTTGTTTTCTAAAATTCCAAACAGATTCCTACGGCACTTTGGTAAGCTATCGATACTTCCAAATAAGTGCTACAGTTATCCGTATCACGATCCAGGACCTTTTCTTAGACATTGTCAACACTTCTTAGTTTTCAAGGATCATTGTGTATGTGAACACAATGGTAACGCTCGCCGATGATGCTTAAGAAGCGGTCACATCCCCAGTTCCCAAATGGCAGATTACCTTCCTGTCAATTCATCAATATCCTACTTCGAACTTCCTCAAGATGACCACACGAGCCTCAGCGATCAGGGAAGCCGGTTCGCTGTACATCTCCCTGATGGAGCGTATGGAATCATTTCGAGAAGGGTATGAGAGAACGCAAGATGCCGTGCACTTAGTAAATTTACGCGGTGACTCGCAAATCCGTCAAGCTATTGTGAGCTTCAACGCTAGTTCCCGAGCCGAGCTTCTACAGTTTCTGACCGAGCTAAACCAGCTTGAACCAAATATTACCGAGGCAAACGAGTTTGAGAACGTCGGCGAAGATCACGATATTGAGCTTCTAGGTCAAAATATTACTAATCTAGAATTGAGAACCCTGCAGAACGACCTGTTACATACAAGCCCCAATGCTTTGGGTAATCATGACGACCGAAATCGAGATAGCTGTATGCGTTGTGTCATCTGTCTAGAACAGTTTGACTTTGCCAACGAGATACCCTTTAGGCTACACGAATGCTCCCATATGGTTGGGAAACAATGTCTAAACTCATGGATCAACGGAACTAATGCCCAGAGCAATTCATGCCCAGTGTGCAGGAATACCCTGTGCGAACGAAGACCTCGACGACCCATCGATCCTATGTCGCGTCTCCCACCTAGCCAAGTTGAACATATCAATCTCCTTCGTGATTACGTAGATCGGGCGATCTACAGACTCGAGCGCATCCTCCAGTTTGTGACGGAGATTGATGGCATGCAGGGTGTCATGAGCTACTGTGCAGATTTCGAAGCCATCAACGATGAGCTGCGGCAACGACAGATTAGATTTCAGATCTGGCCGACTATGACAAACGACAATGACAATTGGAAGCTGGCTTTTGAGATTGATCGAGTCGCATGGGAGGTGGATGGAAGCTTGAGCGTATTGAGCGAGAATTATGGAGACAATGCGAGGCGCATAGAAGCAAGGAACCGTGAGCGTCAGGAAGGAGCGGCTGACAGGCAGTTCCGTGACATCATCTGGAATCAAATGGCCAGTCGACAACAGTGAGTCTTCCGGGCCTGGACGTGCGTGTAAGTACTGGCATTGCTTTGTTTTGTCGGCGTTTAGGATAGGAGTTTGAAGTTAAACAATATCATGCTACCAATTAGGTACTACTGCATTGAAATTGTTTTCCATACCCAGTTATATTTTGAGTATCGTTTCATATGAAGAAGGATGCAGATTTTGATGAGCTTCACCGGATCTCGCCACCTCTAGACAAATATAGCCCATAGAGGAAGTACTGATATCAAAGTGGATGAGTTACCATTCAGGAGCACCTCAATCTTTAACACCACACTGCGTAGTATATCGTTCCAGAAATTGCAGGGCCCCAGAAATCATGACACGATATCTATACCATAATTCCAGGTGTCATGCTTCAATTTCTTTACTAATAGCAAAAGCCTGCACCTGTGGAGATCCCGTGGGGGAAAGTGCACTCACATTGTACACTCAAGAGTACAGACAGAATGTAAGGCAACGTGAAATTGCCTTAGTAACCCCTAGGGACACAAGTTTTAACTGCACCTGGAGGGTCTATACCACAGAGATTCTTGATATCTAGTACAATCAATACGTGTTTCTCAATGAGTAAGTTATCTTATATACAGCGTCTCTGCGACATCTGAATATCTACGTTGCGTGTTACAAATTCCGGGAAAAACGGCGGCTTTTTCCAGAGCACATCATCGGATCTTGAGCCTCCTGCAGGTAGTTGTTGAGGCGCAATGCATTTGTGGGCAAGATTGTGAAGCGGAGCCGGAGGTACGTGACCTCGTTAGCGCCAGCAGTCTTCTTCAGGGCCGAGGTCCCCGCTCCACTTGAAACGTAACACCTCAAGCTATCACCTACCTACACACCACATTATCGGCTCAGCATTATTGGCACGTGAAGTATTACATCTACGATTACAATTTCCAGTATCGGGGCCTGAATGAAACGTTTTTTGATATCCACCCTTGACTCGTTGTACGGATACAACGCGATCGCACATCCTCTTATCTCATCCGTGACTGAGAGCCATGACGCCCTCTGACGGCTGGCTATTGATCACACAGCACGAAGCCCTCCACATCTGCATCGGACTCTTGCCTGATGCGCGTTGAACGACAACAGAGAAGGGCATGCGACAGATGCCACGCGGTCAAGGAAAAGTGTCGCTGGTCCGACGACAAGACTACTTGCGAACGTTGTCATCGGCTCCGATCAACTTGCCAGATATCGCGACCAATTGCGACAGCTGGACGGAAATCTCGATATCACCACGCTATAGCCGGGGCGAGACGCGAGTCTCGCTCCTCAAGCAGCGAAAGCAGTCTCACCGCTTCGCCTGATGGTAGCTCGAACACCAGTAACACCATCGCGGAAACTACGCCTCCACCATTGATGCATATATCGACACAACCTTCCATCTTTACAGGCTTGAACGACCGGGAACTTGAATTCCTACAAGGCATACCACAAGGTCGGACGCGCATTGATCAATTCCTAGTTGGACCAAGCTTTCGGGCATGCCACCAACAGACGTTTCTTCGTCAACTATGTACAGCAACGTTCATCATCCAAGACGCAGTGATAGCTTCCTCAGCTCTCATAGCTTGCGAGGATGAACTACATACAAACCACCAGGATCGGGCAATAGGACACAAACGGGCGGCTTCTGCAATTTCTGCTCTACGATCTCTGGGGAGCTTTAGCTCTGGAGACCTGTCAGCTATCCTAATGCTCTCAGCCAGTGCAGTCACCTTTGCTTTGCACATATCCGGGAGCGCGCTCGCGATATGTCGCCACAGCCTCCACCTCATCCAGCCTTTCTATAGTCCTACAATGGACCTCGACACTGATAGCTTGGCTTTCTTGGTCTGTCTTGTTCACTCTGAGACCGCGGAATGCCTTCTGCGATGCGAGGTACCCACCCTAAGATTCGAAGTGCCTCTCAGATACACTGTAGACCGCTTCTTGGGAGTTGCAGCACCTCTGCTATCGCATCTTCATGATATTTGCGAAATCAGCTACAACTTAAGTCGTGCTACAAGTGTCAATAATGCTGAGACCATGAGATCTTTGGATGAGATCGGTCTTGCCGTTGACCATTGGCAGCCGAGCCTCCCCAATGACTTCATGACACGCTTCGAACCAGCCGAGGTAGCGAGCATGTTAGCTCAAGCCAACGTCCATCGTTGGTCTATACTACTCATTGCTCATCGACTATGTTACCCGTACGGTACAGAAACAACAAAAGGGACTGCTCTTTCGATCGCAATCCTGACAGAGGTAGACTCGACAGTTAAACTCACAACACGGTCGATACCTTGCATCGATATTGCGTATATCGTCGCCTGTTTCGAGCTCACCGACACAAGAGAACGACAGCTGGCACTTACGAAGACTGAAGTCGTTGTCGAGTTCTCAAGACAGCTGCAGTCAAAAATCAAGTTGCTTTTGATAGACTTCTGGCGCATCAGAGACGCTCGAAAGCAATTGTATTGGTACTCCATATCATCTCTGCTCCTGCCTTAGCAGACGTTCGAGCAAGAACATAGAACTATAAGCCCGGAGATGAGGTACATATACCGTAGTTTGAATCAGTATGTAGGAGCACTTCAGCCTTTTATCATGACTTAGGTGGGACCTCACTAAACAAGTCTCAGCGCTCCTGTACAATTTTCATCCAACATCTATACCACATCTTCAGGATACGACGGCGAAGCGGCTTCGAAAGTTTACAGGATATACCAACCAGCAGTGCAATCCCTCATCAGCCACCTCTTCTGGTGACGCCAGCACGCCCTTAACAGGCTTTTTCAGTGAACCGTTCTTAGGGAAGATCCTCCTACTACGAATGCTCATCCGTGGTCCGATGAGCTGGCTGTCGCAATGCCATGTGCTCATATTTCTTTGCGGTTGCGATCCTTGCCCTCTTACCCCACATCAGCAGTGCCACGGGAAGCAAAAGTACCGCGAAGCAGACTGCGGCCGTCAGGACGTGAACGTTTTGCACACCCATGCCATTGATCCAAGGAGTAAGTGCAAAAAGTACAATGACAGAGAACGCGTTCCTCGTGAAGACAATCCCGACAAGAGCATCACCAATGATCTATGGAGTCTAGTTGTTAGCAAAACCATTCAAAGGAGATGATGGTCATTATGTCGCACACAGCTAACTCACATCTGAATAGCAATCCGTTGTGTAAGCGAGGGCGATGTCACCAGTGAGCACAAAGGCAAACCCGAAGAGACCGAAGCCGACAGCCAGGACTGCCCAATGCACGCCCTGTGGATCTGGTCAGCAAATCGAGTGGTAGCAGCCGGGCTTCTCAAGCAATTCTAAACGTACCCTAACTAATCCCAAACCAAACATCAGGATACCAGCTGGCAGCAGAACGGTGGCAATGA